TTGATGAAAGAAGAGATCAAGAATGAGTTCTACAGGTACAAGATAGTGGATTTAGCCAACAACCACGTGAGTTTGGAATAGGATTCTGTGCCTTAATGAGGCTCCAGCCCTGGCCAATACTGTGAGACCCTGAGAGACCCAGCTCAGCCAGGCTGGGATTCCTGACCTACAGAAACTGGGAAATCATAAATGGGCATTAAGTCATTAAGCTTGGGGCAATCTGCTACACAGCAATAGATAACTGAGACACTGGCCCTTCCAATCAAATTAGGCCAATGGAGCTGCTTACAGATGCTCAGACAGTAGGAGAGGAGAAAGGGTGAGGTATTCATTCTCTGTTAGCTTCCACTCTTACCAACGATTCTCCCCCAGCTGTGGCATTTGGGGCCCTCAGAGCTGCTTCTCCTGTGCTGGGTGGACCTAAGGCCAGTGAAGCCTGATCTCACTGTGGGGCCTGGTACTTCATTTTCTCTTATCATTCTCATGCCTCTCTGCCATGACTTTTTAAAATATTCCTTTGTTAGACTCCCTTCACCTGCTCCTCTAGAATGCATATACCATCACTTTCCTGAAGGGCTGCTGCCTGAAGAATAGACTAACTGCCTAGTATTGCCTTATCCCTATCCAAACCCATCTCCAAATTTAAGCTACCTCCTCATAGTCCTGAGAAACCCATCCTGCATTTTCCCACCTGATGTCTTGGATTTAGGTTTGTCTCATAGTATGAAACTGAGAGATTATTACTATGGTAGTAGTGGTGGTGGGAGCCAAATACATGAATTTTAGAATAAACTACTTCTTGTGCTATTTGCTAGCTGTGCGTCCTTGGGGAGATGGCTTACCCTTTCCATCCAGTTTCTTTATCTGTATAAGAGAGGTAATAACACCCACTGTGCAAAGTTTATATGAGGATTAAATGCAATAACAAATAAAAAGCATCTAGTACCACAGCTCAGCAATTAATGGTGTTGATTGAAAAGCTGCTGGTATGAATACTGATCTTGGTCATAAGGATAACCACTGAGCCTATTGAAATCCTATGCACCCAACTATTCCTCTGGAATGCTCTCTCTACTGTTGATCCACTGAGTCCTCCTTTAAGAAATGGGAAGGCTCTTCATTAAAACTGCAGCAAATGAGTTCATTTCTCACTTCTTTTAAAGTTCTTATCTTATGTGCTGTGTATATAGTATTTACCTGTGAACATGTCATATTCTTCCACTGTAGTCTCAAAAACTATGTGCAGAGATTATGTATATTTGTATTCACTGGGACCTAAGATCAAAACATTTTTAATGTCACTGGCCAGATAGGCACCTATATTTTTATATGATAATTAAATAAGGTTCAGTGGATAGCTAAAACAGTACGTCTTGGCCAATGTAGCCTAGATTTGCATACAAACCACTCCACTCCATCTGTCCTTCCTACAACAGTTAATCAAGCACTAAATAGATGTAAGTTTGATGAACTAAATGTTCCTCTTCTCTGTGGCTCCTGATTCTTGTGAAAGAAACTCACCCAGGCAAAGTAAGTAGGACTGGGGTTGGGTGTCACCTAGTAATAAATGACACACATGCTAAAAGCCAAGAGGTTTCTCAGGGGAGTTGCCACAGGTTTCAGTGGAATGACAATTACAAGGTAGATGGATCATGTCATGCCTGCTGTGACCTTTACAATACATGAGGATCATTATTTCAATGTTAATTTGCATAATGGTTGGCCTAGCAGGAACAATGCTAATAGCTGCAGGATGCAATAAAATTAAACATTATCTGGGCTGAACTGCTAAAGGAAAAGTTGCCAAAGTCTGACTCTTTAAGCATTTAATTTCATCTCGGGTCATGGCCATACACAATCAAATATAGATTTCTGGTATCTCTTGAAAAACTAGCAAGAAATGATCAGAATGGACTAGCAACAACCACCTTTGTCTTTCTATAAAATCTTTACCTTGCAGTCTTTTCACTTTTACCTGATTTGCCTGTTCCTTCTGAGGTATCTGAAACCACTACCCCTTGACTAAATCCTCCCCATCCCCATGTCTATCCCCACTGCTTATGTGGCAGACATATCAAATCTGATAAACCCAGAGAGAATGAATCTCAGCATCAGGATTAAAACAACTTTGAATAAACCTTTGAAAAGGGGAGATGCAACCAGGGTAGCAGTAGTTGATATGTTCAAAGCAAAGAGACACTGTGGGCTCAAAGTATGAAATAACCCCAAATTCTGTTTTAGGTGGAAAGCGGCCATTAACAAAGAGAATGAAAAGAAATAAATTATTTCTATTTAGGTTTATCAATCCTGACTATTGTTGCTACCTGGAAAATGTACTCTACATCAGCCTGTACTTTGTACCCCAAATCCGCCTTTGCAGACTACACAATTAACTAATTAAGCTATTTCTTTCTTACAAGCGTTGCAACTCATATCCACCACAAGGGGGCAGCCATATCTAAAAAGCAATGAGAGAGCCTTGCTTTTAAAAGGGAGAAATAGTGTCAAACTTTGGGAAAAGTTCTACTTGGGAAAGGGATTCAGTAGCCCCTCAGAAATCACATGTCCTCCATAAACGAATATTGTGATGGGTGACACTGAAATAAGATAGAATGTCCAGAACCGTAAGTTTCCCCTCGGGTTCTTTACTATCAAAATCATGCGCACTGACAAGGTATCCATTTCTCAAATTATGAAAGCCTAAATCTTCCAGACATCCTTGATGTCATCACCAGATTCATTTTTCATCTTTTCTTGGGGTGTATCCAATAGCTATCAGCTTTCTCTTCCTCTTTAAAAGCAGCATGCTGATTTAAGTCTCATATAGGTTTTATTTAGTTTTAAAATCTCACTGATGACAGAAGCAATTGTTAACTTCTCATTTAAACTGGATAGGGAAGGAACTGGTTTCAGAAGTATCATAAACACGTTTTGACTTAAGTGTTGACATGAGTATAATATGCTTTACTGGCAACTTGCTTGGTGTCCTATGTTTCAGTGCAATGACTTCCACAGCACCTTTTTTTAGGGACTAAAGTAGTATATTCCTGAATATTTTACCCCCTCCTTTATTTTCCTACTAAGCAGGCTTCCTCCAAAATACCTCATTTGACCTTTATACCGTTAGAAGTGCCCAACTCCCCTCTGTGGGTTGCTAATCCGATTTATGCGAGCAGAGCCTAGAATTACTTTAGCTTCCCAACTGAAAAAAATCATACACGTGGATAATACATTATTACTAGTCCCACTTCTGATTTCTCTTTATCTCTGCTTTGCAGGCCTAGAAGGTCTGCTGAAGAACCTGATGGTACCTGTCTGGCCTTTTACAAAAATCTTCCGCCCTTGGCTTTGGGGGTCACGTGAGCAACTTGGCGGTGCTTCTGAAACTCTGGGAGGAACAAAAAGAATTCCCAGGAGCTTCATGGTGCAGCAGCTTTGGCGAATATTTCAGCCAAGGGCGACAAGTGACTTGGCCACCTGTCTCAGCTTCTGGGGACCTGGTGGAATGGGGTAGGGTAGAAGGTTGGAAGGTCCCAAATTGTCTTGTATGCTTAGCGCACACTGTGCTTTATTGTACCTTACTCTGAGCTGCTAATCGCCTGACATTGAGCTGAGCAAGATAAATATCACAGTGATTGCTACCATAAAAAAAATGAGAAGAAAATCCCTCCCACCCTCCTCTCCTCACGCTGCCACACACACAGTCCACGGAACACACAGCATGAACCGGAGACTTCGTGTCACTTACACAGACCTGTTCATGGGAACTGGTGCTTCCTCTGCATATGCTTACATAAAGAAACATTTATAGAAACCTATGCATGCATTTTTCTAAACTAGATATATTTGAATAGAAATTCATCTGTGCATTTATATAAATGTAAATGCATACAAACGCATTTGCATTTGTAACTGCGCGTATCTCTGTGTTAATGCTAAAGTAACACCTATTTTCCAGCCTTATTTTCTTTAAATTTTCCCTCCCATCCCCGAAAACGTGTAAGTGTTTAGCTCATCTCTATGCCAAGATACCTTGTAATTTAATTCCTTTTTAAAAGGTTCTCTAGTACAGAAAAATTTCAAACTGAAAGTTGAATAACGGGCCTGGTGGGGACACAGAGGCCGGACCCCGCATCTGAGCTGCGTTTCGCCAAGGAGTCTCGTCCAGGGTTCAGCGACGCAGGAGCTCTGCTCTCAGCGGGCCCGCCCTCCGCCCCACCCCGCCGTGGCCGCCCGGGCGCGCCGTCCACACCCCTGCGCGCCTCTCCCTCCCGCCTCTCGGGGATCCCCGGCGAGCTGCGCAGCCGAGGGGGAGGTGTTCGGCCCCGGCCAAGAGGCAGCCGGCAGGAGGCGTCCCCTTTAAAAGCCGCGAGCGCCGCGCCACGGCGCCGCCGCCGCCGCCGTCGCCGGAGTCCTCGCCCTGCTGCGCCGCGCTCTGCGCCCGGCACTCTCAGAGCCGTCCCGGACCCCCGCAGTCCCCGCCGCCGGCCCCCGCGCGCCCTCGGGGCGAGCGCTGCGCGGAGCACGGGGAGAGACCCGCGCGGGCTGGAGCCCCCGGCTGTGCGCGCGGCGGCGGCGCTGTGGCCTCGGCTGCCCGGGCCGCGCCGTACACTCACACAGGCGCGCAGAGCGCCGCGGAGCCCCGAGCGGAGCCCGAGCGCCGCGATGCCCGGCGTCCCTGGCCGGAGACCCGGAGCTTGGGACGCGCTGGCCGAGGTGTGACCGGACCCGGGGCTGGCCGAAAAAGGCACTCGGCCCCAGGGCTAGGAGAGCGCGGCCGTCCGCCCCCACCCCCCGGGACTCGGCCGGACCTGCGGGAGAATGCGCCCGAGGACGGCGGGACGCCGGAGCCGCAGCGGGTGCCTCCGGCGAGCGCGCATGGGGCAGCGCTGGAGGAAGGCGGAGTGATGCGGGGGCGCCGCCCGCCCGGCACCCACATCTTCGCTGCGCCCTTCCGCGGACCCGGCGTCGCCCAGGATGGCCGGCCCGAGCCCGGCGCCGCGGCGGGGATAGCGCCGAGCGCCCGAGCCCTGCGCCCCAGCCCCAGAGACAGCCGCGGGTCCCGAGGGCGCCGGTGCCCGAGGACCACGACAGCACCAGTCTTTCCTCTCCCTCCCCGTCCCTGCCCGGCCGCGCACTCCTCCCCCTGCTCGCGACTGTGTGTCAGCACTTGGCTGGAGACTTCTTGAACTTGCAGGGAGAGTGACTCGTGCTCCCCGCTCGCTCCCGTGCCTCTCGCCAGCGGATTCAGCCGCGTCGTCCCCGAGCCCCACCACCCCGCCGCCAGGCCGACCCGGGACGCTGCTCCCAGCGCGAGAAGGCGACTGTGCGGCCAGGGAAGGGGACGGACACCGGGCCCCTGCGCCGGGCCCTTCGGACAGAGCTTTTTCCATGTGGTGGCTCTTTCAATGGACGTGTCTCCGCGTGCTTCCTAGACGGACTGCGGTCTCCTAAAGGTAAAGGACGCGGGGCCGGGGTCGGGGCCGGGCCAGGATGGGGGATGCGACTCGGGGCTCAGCGCCTACCCGGGCGGAATGGGCTGGAAGTAAACAGACCCTGGCAGGTCCGCGTGCGGGGGGTGGGGGGTGGGGGGCCAGGTCCCAGTGTCCCCGGACCCCCCAGCCTGCACTCATCCGGCCCTTCTCCCTCCCCCTTTCGGTATATTGTTAAGACTATTAACATTTCTACGATTAAAAAAATAGGCCCCTGGAATTCAGCCGTTAGTTGCCAACCTGTACTTCTGGCCTTGGCTATCCCTTACCTATTCTTCAGGTTTCTCCCGGAGACCTGCTCTCTCCACTCGGAGAGGAAAGGACTGGGAGTTGGGGTTCTCGGATTTGTCTCCAGAAGTGCGAGGGACAGTAGTTCATGGCCAATTGGTCCTGTGTTTTTAACAGCTGATGTGTGCATTAGTAGGTAGTAGCTATTTACATAATCCCGGGAAGGTACCTGTGTTTCTGGATGGCGTGAGAGTGATGGAGTGGCCGGTCCTTCACCCCTAAGGTTAGGGGCGTGGGCAACAAGGTGGAGGCGCCTTCAAAAGTTGTGCGCTTGAATTTACAGGGTCTGGAAGTTACAGACCCCAGTGTAACTAAGTGTGTGTGTGTCAGGAAGTTCTATAGAGTGCCTCAGGAAGTCACATGCGCTCTTGATGCATGTTTATATACAAGTGAGCGCTGGACAGTGTGCGGGTTATTAGGGGACCCAGGGTGTCGGACAAACGGTGATTTTCCCAGATTCCCAGCACGGGTTGTCAGAGCTGATGTCACAGACAAAAAAGTGGCAGTCGCTGGCTGACTACTTGGAGATGAGGGCAAAACCCCAAATCAGAAGTCAGATGAGTCGGAGGGGGACAGCTCTCAGGGACTGGCGTTCCTGCGGTGCGGTCGGTGTGCGTCAGGAGGACACCCTGGAGGTGGTGGCGCAGAGCTGGGGGCCGCAGGGGCGGGCAGGCGGGAGGACTGGGCGGGGAACTCGAGTGACTCACGTCGGCCGGCCCTGTCCGCAGGTCGACCATGGTGGCCGGGACCCGCTGTCTTCTAGCGTTGCTGCTTCCCCAGGTCCTCCTGGGCGGCGCGGCTGGCCTGATTCCCGAACTGGGCCGCAGGAAGTTCGCAGCGGCGTCGGGCCGCCCCTCGTCCCAGCCCTCGGACGACATCCTGAGCGAGTTCGAGTTGAGGCTGCTCAGCATGTTCGGCCTGAAGCAGAGACCCACCCCCAGCAGGGACGCCGTGGTGCCCCCTTACATGCTGGACCTGTACCGCCGGCACTCAGGCCAGCCCGGCGCGCCCGCCCCGGACCAGCGGCTCGAGAGGGCGGCCAGCCGCGCCAACACGGTGCGCAGCTTCCACCACGAAGGTGAGGCAGGCGGCGGGACGGGGTCCTGAAGAGGCGGGGTGGCCAGAGCGCCAGTGACGTTTCCAGTCTTGTTCGCCATTGGGCGCACTGCCTGTGCGGGGTGGGGGTGGGGGGGAGCCCGGGATTCCCCAGCAGTGCCTCGGCACCCTTCCCCTGGCCGTTGGCCAGAAGAGTAGCTCCTCCTCCAGGAACTGGAGAGGCATCCAGAGATGGGGAAGGTGAGGGTCAAAGGCACGCCCCTAGTCGGCTAAAGGGGCGTGAGAATTCCACCGGGGGAGAAGGATTGGGGTTTCTTGCAATCTGTTTGGAAACCCTTGCTTTATAAATCTACGTCTTCTGTTTAAGCTGGGGATTCAGGTTTAGACAGAGTCAAGGGGAGAATTTTCAGAGATAATAGTTTTGAAAAATCAAAGCCCAGAGCCCCAAAGTCTTTCTAATTTACAGTTGATTTGGACCCGGTTTGGAAGATTTCGAATCCCTATTTAATCCCCGTGGGAGATCAGTTCTACAATCTTACTGTTTCCACAATGACTTTCTTGTCTTGCGCTTACATTTTAGGCTCTGGGTAGAGACAAGGCAAGCCTTCAGATAAAAGCTTTTGCAGCAGCTGCCTGCTTCCTTCACGTGCAGTGAAATAGGGAGGGTTTTTTTGTTTTTTATTCAGTGTGGTTTCCGAAGGTAGGCTATTTCTGCTTGTTTCATCAGAAAGGTATTTAGTGGATTTGAAATGTTTTAGAGCAGCTACTGAGATCTGCTGAACCTAAGTTCTTAGAGCAATTAGTCAAACACAGGTTCTACCTCTATTCTTTCCCTACAGTTTTAAAGGCCCTTTGGCTTAATATTCTCTACAAAGAGCATGGTATCCTTCAAGTTCTAGGAAATAAGGCAAAGAGGGTAAATAAGTGCGTGGCACAGAGCATGTATTTGTACAGTATTAGGGAGTTGGGGGTGAAATTCTCTTTTGCTTGCTTTGCCCTGCTGGGGTGGTATTTCTCAAGTGGAGATCTGTGAAATGATAGAAACAAATTTAAAATGACACAGCCCGAAGTTTTTTCAGTGTAAAGGAAGACATACTTGTGAGAACTCTGGTTAATAATGGGGAGAAGTCCCAAAAGTCATAGCACAAATGATGCCTCTTCATCAAGGCAGGTACATTAGGAAGTGGATACTAAATCATTTCCAAATAGAGATTTCTTCCAAATACAGTAAGACCTCATTCATTCCACTCTCTTAGAATCCTCCATTGAAAGCAGAAGGTGTGTGTGGTCTTAATGTAGAACTGTTTTCATTTGTGTGCATTCTGTTATCTGAAACCTGAGATGGTAATAGAGCCAGCTCATTATTCCCAGCTGATGTTTATTAGAAATAGTTTTTCTGGATAAAAAAGCAGGAAGCACAGCTGTTTCAGCCACCTCTTCTGGAAATTTAGCATGGAAACCATCCTTAACTTTATCAATAAGGCTAGGAAAGTACAGTATCTTCCTTGTAACTTAAAAGTAAGATCATTTAAGTCAGGTACTACCTAAAGATACTCAGTTGAGTGATGTTTTCATCAATGAAGTCTGCATATTTCTCATACTTTCTCTAGAAGTGGCTTGGTCAGAACTTAGACTATATATTATTCATGTGTTATTCTAACTTAAATGTGTGCTTGAGTTTTTAAGTTGAACTTATATCTTTCAAAATATAAGTATTGGGCTGGCGATTTAGCTCAGTGGTTTTGCTGCCTGCTGCGCAAGCGCAAGGATCCAAGTTCAATCCCCGGTACCCAAAAAAAAAAAAAAAAATGTGAGTATTATATATCAAACAGTACAACACTTACCAACTCACTTAAAATCAACTTGCCGTAACTTTACATCTTGGTACATGCAGGTGATAGAGAAAATCTATGTAATGTTGGCCCTCAATTTCAACAAATCCATATCCTTTCTCATTATGAGAAGAATACCATCATTAGGTTGGATTTAGAGCTTTTTGAAGACTATTCATTGTTATGTAACCCAGAATTTAATTTTTATAAGCATCCTTACACCACATGTGCTATTAGAAATATTGTAATAAACCATGTGATTAAGGCTACTGGCCCAAGAGCAGAATTTAGTTTATACAAGGTTAATAGACCTTTACTTGCTAAAGAACTAAAAGGACCCTATTAAAGTACTTGTTGAGGGTCTTTTTCTTCTGGGGATTGAACTCAGGACCTTGGGCCTTCAAAGCAGGCACAGGCACCACTGAGCCAAATCCCCGATCCACTTGTTGAGCTTTGTTGTTGTTTGTTTTTTGTTTGTCTGTTTGTTTTTGTAATTGATGTCCCATGGTTTGGTGGAATTGTGAGACAAGAGAGACAAGGTTGGATGTTCTTTCAACCAATATGTATATGTTCAGACTTCAAAATGAGTGATTTGAGGGCTAGGGATTTAGCTCAGTGGTTCTGCCGCCTGCCCTCCAATTACCCAAGTTCGGTCCCAGGTACCAAAAAAATAAAATAAAATAAAGTAAAATAAAAAATGAGTGATTTGAGACACAATTATTAGTTGTCGTTTCTCCTATTGGACATTATTTCAGTCCTTTCTACACTGACATGAGGGCAAAAGCTGTGCTAAAGCTGTCTTTTTTTTTAAGTCACTGAAAATGCATCAGCCATATGGGCCTTTTAGGACTGCATTGAGTATAAAAAAATCAGCTCGACATCTGGGAAGATTGTGTTGTGCTTTGCTGCCGTTCGAAACACACTGGTATTGCTTGATTTCATTGGTTCTGCAAAAAGCCTTCTGCTTTGTTGACAGATCGGAACATAGAAAAGTACCCATGTGCTTGTTCCCCAGACTTTGAGGGACAGCGTCTTCCTTAGTGCATGTAATAACTGCAGTTATTTGCTTCTATGACCAAAGCTTTCAAATAGAGATGAATCCTGTTCCCACAAATGTAATTACCATGAAAATATCTATGTAGGAAAGTTTGAGAAATGAGCATTGCTCTGTGAAGGAGAATTCCTGTGACAGGTTCCCAGTGTGGATTGGGAAGTGTAGGCACTCCCAGCCAGTACTCACATGGGGTGCTTCCCTAGTGCCCCAGGTGGTACAGTGTGATTACTGGGCCCCATTAGGTAGGGCAGTTACTCTGTTTGAAAATGCTCATAGAGACTGAGCTTTGGTGCCCCGTGAGAGTTCCTGGCATTGATATTTTTGGTTCCACTTCTTTTTTATAATTTCCCCATATTTCTTCTCACTGAGGTGCTTTGGCTCTTGGACTTGCACCTTGGGCATTTCAGTAAGTAGTGAGTAATAAAAGGGGTGGCAGTCATTCCAAAGGTGCCACTGTTAAGCGTGGGCAGAGGCCAAATCAGGGTTAGTGGTGACGAGGAGGCTCTTCTTTGCTTTAGTTGCCATTTCCTTTGTTGTCTTTAATACAAAATCTTAGTCTTTGTAACCTTTTGGATTTTATCTCTTTACTTCTTGATATATCAATTATTTTATCTTCTGGAAAATCTTGTCTGTCATATGTAAAGCCTCCATTTTGTTGTAAGGCAGAGATTTCCAACCTTACTGATTTTCTAGAATATTTGTAGGCACTGTTATTGTTTTAGTAGAGGGTTTTTTATTTTTTTACTATCCAAAGAGCGTTGCAAAATTCTCAAGGCATAATGATAACTTACTTTTAAAATAAAACTCACCATGCCTTAGGGCAGAAATACAGCCACAAAATAGCAGTGGCTCTAAAGAAGATTTCCATGTCCCAGTGGCCCCATGGCCACTTTTGGCTCATTTAGTTCTCTCTACTGTCTGCATGGTACCTGGGTAGTATGTTCCTATCCTCTAGTTAGGACAGAACTCACTCTGCAGTTGCCAGTGCAATAAATGTTAATGTGTCCTGATAGTTTTGACTGTTGCTTGAGGCTTTGACTCCTCCCCTGTGAGGCAGTGCCTTCTAGTGGCTAGAAACTTGGGCACCGCAGTGCCCTCAAGTTCATAGCCTTGTGACCTTAGGTAAGTTACATAACCTCTCTGAACTATTTCACTTACAAAATGGAAGTGATCATGGTTCCTCTCTAATCACTTTGCTGTGAGAGGATCCATATAACGTTATTAGCACAAGACTGTCCCAAAACAGCAGTCAGCCAATTAACATTATTATGATGACTTTTTAAGCTATATTTTCCCTTTCTCTAGGGAAAAGGAGGCCAAAGTAGATGTAGCCCACTCCTTTGGATAATTTTGAAGTAGATGATGAATAATCGATGTAGTGCAAATGATTGAATTAGGACTTCACTTTTGAAAGACAGGTCAAATTTTTGCCTTATTTTCTTCATCTTCCCACATTTTCGCAGCCTTGGCTCCATCCACTTGGTTAATAACTTTAGAACCCCATAAACTGAGGTCGAAGATAAGTCAGACTCAAACCTCTTACCAAGTTCAGCTGATTGAACAAGGGATATTTACAGGGAATTAACAACTGTATAAGCCTCCCCAAATCATACATGATCTACTCTGTATTTTCAGAGTCCCCAGGCTTGCTGTGATGATTTGTAGATGGTTTTCTTAATTGGCTTTGCTCCACATAGGTTTTGAATCTTCCACCTTTGAGAAAAGATTGAGACTTCTCCCTTGGAGGAGGAGGTGGCATGTGCCTTAACCCTGGACACTGATTTCCTGGGGTAGCGAGGTTTCTGTGAACAGAAGCGACTGAATTAAGGCAGTGACCAGAATCTGTTGTCCCAGTGGACACCTCTGTGGTAAGAGTAGGATGGAGATTTTTTCAAGGATTAGATTTATGGGGGTGCAGTTGGAAGGTTAGAGAAAGGACTTTATGCCACCTGTTACTATGCAACAGTGCAATTTTCTCCTTTGCTAAGGCTACCAAGCCAGTCTGCTTTGCTAAGGCTTCTTACCTCCAGTGAAATTTTGAAGCAGAGGACATTGCTGTTTTCTGTGTTTCTGGTAGGAAAGTGGCAATTTTATATGATTTTATCTTTATTTTAGAGGGTTATTATCCTATCTTATACCTGTTTGTGTACCCATCTTCCAGATTTCATTTATCTCTCTCTCATACTTATCTTGAAAATTGTCCCTTCATTGTCATCCTCTTGCCATGTGTGCATGAGCATGTGCGTTTCATGTCTTTCCTTTTTCTTTATGGACTGGGATTCGGGACTTTTGTTGCTATCGTGATTTCTCCAGGTACTTGGATGAATATAGAACTATTTGTGGAGAGCCCTGGGCAGTTTGCCTTTCCTTCCTCCTCTATGAAAGAACAGAGAATGTGCCTAGATGTGTTGGTGTCAGGAAGCAAAGATCTCGGTTCATATCTGGCTTGGTGTCTGGGGCCTGGGGGATGCAGCTGGTCTTTACATTCTCAACAAGTGCCTGCAACAGAAAGAGTGGCTCCTGGATATCAGGAAGAAGGGACTTTAAAAAAGAAGCAATACTTGATACTTGTTTGGGCCACCGAAAGGAGCCCTGGTTCTGTTGGTGGGAAGGTGATTGTAGTGGTCACGTCTAGCCTGAAGAACTATTGGCTTACAGAGGGATTCAGGATGTAGGTGGATCCTGATAGGTGTCTCCAGGAGGTTTGGATTATGGGGCACCAGAGGACTATGGAAGATTATCATTTGGTCATGGTAGTCTCCCTATCTAGAAGAATTTTAGAGGACCCTTCTGTTTGAATCTTTCTCTGGTCCACTGTAGCCTCAACTCTTACTCCTTGGCCAACACTAATGGTTCTATGCACGTTCATATTATTTAGCAGAATGGCATTTTAAAAAGATACTCCTCTGGCAATTTGTGCTTGAATATGAAAAACATCCTTCAAAACCTTGACATCTAGTGTGCATTTCTCAGCTTGAAGCATCCTCTTACTTAAGAGTTCACTGGGAATGCCGATCTCAGGCCCCTCCTCAGACCAGGTGAACTCGCATCTGCATTTGGAGATGTAATGGTTTCTAGTTGTTTAGGATGAAGGCCGAACAGCAGCACTGTGTGAAAGCATCATTCTGTACCTTGGTGTAAACTGTGCCTGGTGAACTCAGAGCTTCTGTTGAGCTTGCTGTGACTGGTCCTTTGGTGCAGAAGGTTTATGAGAGTAGAACCTTGGGGTGTTCCATCTGACATGACTCTTCTTTGCTTAAGTATCTAGACCAGTGGTGGTGAGCCTATGGCATGCATGCTGCAGTGGGCTGTTTCTATCATTGGAAGCTTAAAAGGTTGTCCATCACTGATCTAGCCTCTGTGAACAGCTACAGCTCTTTGTCTTTACAGAAAATACAACTGTAAAATTAATAAAATAATCTCTTATGGTATAGAACGGTGTCAAAATGGATTTTGTTAGCATTTGAGTTGAGCTCCTAGATGAAGCAGACATCTTTTTTTTTTTTTTGACACAAGTAATAGGGTTCAGTAAAACGAGAAGAAAATAAACCCAAATATCTCAAGTTTTATTGCTATTTACTATCAGTTTAATAATATTGTGCCTTTGATGATTTGTCAACAACAGCCATTCAAGTTGCAATGTTATATTTTACTGTTTGCTTGGAACATAATAGATCTTAGAACTGCAGTGCAGGAATCTAAATGAGACAGACTTTTATGCAAGGTCCTTTAAATGGCTCTTTGAAATAATGATAATAAACATAGAAAGATGATTCTGTAATACGCTCCTCGTATCCTGAAACTCATACTGGTATATTTATTGTTTCAATTTTTCTGTCTATGAGGCAGCGTATTATTATTGGGATAGACATGTTTTTAATGTGGCTAATAAAACAAAATACAAACAGAAGACAAAATCATTTTTTTTCCCAAAAGCATCTGAATGAGATTTTGATTCTTGAGGTCATAAGGAAGTGAGAGAAAAAACAAATCAGGAAGCTAGTTCTCTTGAAACTATTTTACTTTAATTACTACAGTTCCTAGTACCACCCATACATTTCCAAAGTAGGTCCCTGTAGATGCCTTTGTCTCTGGACTTTTGAGTAAAATGGTAGGGTGTGCTTTGCAAAATGTCATCGTTGATGTTGAGTTTCAGAGTCTTTAATTAGGAAGCTGAAATCTGTATATCAAGATTTGTAAATCATCTAAATTGCAGAGTAATGTTTTAGAATACTGCTTAAGGGATTGACATTAAAGCCCCCCCTTTTTAAAGAAATGCAATAATTTCCTCAACTCCTCACTCATTAGACCTCTACTAACTATAGTCCTGACTCTTTTTTTGCCCTAAAGTGTGTGAGTTCCAAAGAAATGGTTCAGCATTTTCCCAATTATGATAACTGCCTGAAAACCATGTTCTTGTACTGGATCAAAAGTGTAACAATTAATTAGGAAATTTGTTTCATGGCATGCATGACCATATAAATGAAGGAGAGAGTATTTTTTAAATGACATTTTTCTTTTCTGTGTATGTGTGTGTATGACTGAGAATGAACCCAAGGCTTTCTGTGTCCTAGGCAAGCGCTCTGAGTTACACCCACCCCTGAAGGTTTTATCTTCTGGTTGCAAACTTTTGCATGAGCTGAATCAGACCCTTCAATGAGATTCAAACATTCTCGTACATAATCAGGTTATTACTTCTTGTACTGAATGATTTATCTTCTTTTCTTTCCCATCTTTATCAAATTAGAATCTTTGGAAGAACTGCCAGAAATCAGTGGGAAAACAACCCGGCGATTCTTCTTTAACTTAAGTTCTATTCCGACCGAAGAGTTTATCACCTCAGCAGAACTTCAGGTCTTCCGGGAACAAATGCAGGAAGCTTTGGGAGACAATACCAGCTTCCATCACCGAATTAATATTTATGAAATTATAAAACCTGCAGCAGCCAACTTGAGATTCCCTGTGACCAGACTTTTGGACACCAGGTTGGTAAATGAGAACACAAGCCGCTGGGAGAGTTTTGATGTCACCCCCGCTGTGATGCGCTGGACCGCGCAGGGACACGACAACCATGGGTTTGTGGTGGAAGTGGTCCATTTAGAGGAGAAGCATGATGTCTCAAAGAGGCACGTGAGGATTAGCAGGTCTTTACACCAGGATGAACACAGCTGGTCACAGATACGGCCCCTGCTAGTAACTTTTGGCCACGATGGGAAAGGGCATCCTCTACACAAAAGAGAAAAGCGTCAGGTGAAACACAAGCAGCGGAAGCGCCTGAAGTCCAGCTGTAAGAGACAGCCTTTGTACGTGGACTTCAGTGATGTGGGGTGGAATGACTGGATTGTGGCCCCTCCGGGGTATCATGCCTTCTACTGCCAGGGGGAATGCCCTTTTCCGCTGGCCGATCACCTCAACTCCACTAATCATGCCATTGTTCAGACCTTGGTCAACTCTGTGAACTCTAAGATCCCTAAGGCATGCTGTGTTCCAACGGACCTCAGTGCTATCTCCATGCTGTACCTTGACGAAAATGAAAAGGTCGTGTTAAAGAACTATCAGGACATGGTTGTGGAGGGTTGTGGGTGTCGTTAGCACAGCAAAATAAAATAAAATAAATATATATATTTTAGAAAAAAGCCAAAAAAAAACCCCAAACAGAACCAGTTGACACTTTAATATTTCCCAATGAAGACTTTATTTATGGAATGAAATGAAAAAAAACACAGCTATTTTGAAAATATATTTATATCTACGAAAAGAAGTTGGGAAAGCAAATATTTTAATCAGAGAATTATTCCTTAAAGATTTTAAAATGTATTTAGTTGTACATTTTATATGGGTTCAACCCCAGCACATGAAGTATAATGGTCAGATTTATTTTGTATTTATTTACTATTATAACCACTTTTTAGAAAAAATAGCTAATTTGTATTTATATGTAATCAAAAGAAGTATTGGGTTTGTATATAATTTTCCAAAAACTAGTTGTTTTCAGTTGTGTGTATTTAAGATGAAAATTCTACATGGAAGGTTACTCTGGCAAAGTGCTCAGCACATTTGCTTTTTTTTTTTTGCAGCGCTACTGTTAAGTTCACAAGTTCAAGTCCAGAAAAAAAAAGTGGATAATCCACTCTGCTGACTTTCAAGATTATTATATTATTCAATTCTCAGGAATGTTGCAGAGTGGTTGTCCAGTCCATGAGAACTTTCGTCCTTATTAGGTGGAATATTTGGATAAGAATCAGACATTACTGATGTGATACAGAATCCCTTCCCATGCCCCTTAATTTGCAGAAAGAATAAAACAGGACCAATAGAAATAATTAGGAAAATGATAAACATGCAACAGAGTGAATGATGGTTTCTTGTTCTTCTTTCCTAAACTAGGGATCCCTTTCAGGGGGCTGATCTGGCCAAAGTATTAAATAAAACATGTCTTCATTGTTGATATTGTGGTCATGTATATTTAAAATTGATAGCTCGTGGCCCTCATCAAGAGTTAAAAATGGATTTTTAATTTACTTTTTCCTCATCGAGGAGCTGTTTATGGCTCCAAAGTACTCAATTTTCTAACTTTGCCCCAGACACAACAAAATTGTTCACATCATGTTTGCTGCCTGCACCCTGTTCTCCGACTGATCAGCTTGCTTTTCTTTCCAAGGTTACGTATTTTGAATACATTTCTCCAAATGTTAAACCTATTTCAGATAATAAATATCAAAGCTCTGGCATTTCATTCCTTAGAGTCCAACCTGTGCAAGAGAGTGGTGCATTTGTACAGCGCTCACAATGATGACCTTGTGTTTGCATTTTTGTTTCTGTAGTTACTTATTCCAGAGGGGGTTGGGAGAAAGGTAAGGAATGGTTGGAAAATTGCAAGCAAGTCATTTGAAAAGTCATATTTACACCAAAGGAATTACGAATGATTTAACATTTTTATAAGAACCTCTTTGAGGCAGGAAGATTTTAGGGAAAACCAAAGCCTACAAAACAAGCAAAACCTGGGGAACCCAAGATAAAGTTTCAGAGATGATATCCCATGTAGCAGAGGCGATGGTGCCAGAAAATTAGAAAGGGAAAGTGTCTGAGATCAGCTTTTACAAGAACATCTGCCAATTGGCCTGAAGCCCAAGCAGAATGAAGTCAAATTAGGCTGCTTAGAATGAACACTTACTTAGCAGTGCAGAGCTCCTGTGTCCCGGGTTGGAGTCAGAAGCCAGCGAGGGCTCTGTAAGACCAGGGAACCCACAACTCCTGTTTTACTGTCAATGTTTAAAGTCATTTTCCTGGGCACTGTGTCCCCTCTAACCTTGCCATGATGGGGGAAACCTAGTTCTAATCTGTACTCCTAACTCCTGCCTCCAAACTGGCTTTAAAACTTAGTGTTTGTAAAGGAACAGACTAGTATAATCAAACTCTTCCCGGGAGTTTTAGGTAACAGTGAACATAGTTACCTTTTGGGGAGGGGCTAAGGTTCTATATGTCATGTTTATAAATTAATGTTCTAGTATTCTTTGAAAATCTTGTAGCTGCCTTTTGTCCTATCCTTATGACTCTTGCATAGGTAGAACCATTAGAATCAAATACAGAGGAAGGACCTACTGAGTCCTCTGACCCTCCTTTCTCTTGCCATGAATATGAGAAACAGATTGCAGTCTTAACATCTTAAAAGATGATAACCTGTGTTTTTCCATTTCTAAATTCTCTAGGTGAGAATGTGAGAATGTAGCACAAGAATGTCATCCCTTGGCAGGTTCATCCTTCCTTTGGATTTCTCCACTGTATAGGTTCTGATGTTCTTGGTTAAAATTCCTTTGAATGGCATCAGCTTAAACGTGATCTCTTGCAATATTGATCTATATATTTAATATCTAGATAAATAATACATGAGTGAATACATGAAGATGTTCGTAATATACATCACATGTGTACAGGATGGGATTTTCAGTTTCAGTTTCGTTTCAGAGGTTTTATAATAATTGACTCTGACCCTCTTGGCAGCTCACGTAAAAAACAATATTCGTATATACATCCTGTGTGCTTCCAGACAGTTTAGCTCTTGTTCTTCATTTTCAGGAACAAGGTCATAACTAATACCATGACAATTTCTGGAACTGTAGTCATAATTCTGCAAGAGCTTTCAAATCACTTTAGAATTGACTTTAAAAAAACAGCATATAGTATTTTCTGAATTTTCAGGGTTCACGTTTCAAAATTAATTCAGTTGTGTCACGGTTTTTGTGCTTGTCTAGACTGCATGCACCTCCCTGGCTTGGTTTAACCTGTATGGCACATTCAGGCTGCTCTGTTCATCTTTTGCCCTCCATAACTGGAAAGCGGGCGGAAGAGTGTTTTACACATCTGTCTGCACTTCCATCTTTTCAGGTTTCTACTCTATTGCTACTTTAAATTGTACCTCAAGAGAGATCTGTAAGACTGCCCTGTGTAGCAAGCTACATAAGCATAGGATAACCTACCAAGTTTGTTATTTTTTTTCCCTCCATTTTTTTCCTTGGAGGGAGAAAAATCCATCTGTGCAATCAGAAGCACATCAAAGGACTTTAAAATCATATCTTTTTAGTCTATCCTGTTAAGATATTGAGCCACTAGATGTTTATATGCCACAGCCTCCTTACCTATTATAGGGCAAAAGGAAGACAATCTTGCAATACAAAATAAAGTCTAGAATAGCTGGGACACAGAGTAGTGTTCTGAGGAAGTAAGGATGTCCTAGCATTATTCCTTTTCTGTTTCACTTTTCTGCAGGGGATGGGTAGGGTGAGATCGGAGGTAACAGGCAGTCTGCTCCACTCAGGTAAATTGCTTTTCCTGTCTTTTCCACCCTGCTGACATAAATTACAGCCTTATGGTATTCTCCAGGGCAGAATTTTCTGTTTCCCTTGCCCTGCAAACTTCAAAGTGAACTTCTGCCTAACTTGGGGGCCAATGTTCTAAGTAAAACTTCTTAGATGTTAATGTACATCCGAATCACCAGTAATGCCTTAAGGAGTATGAAAGTTTAATGTGGATACAGGCCCCCTACAATCATGTTGTATTATAGATTCTGTTTCAGTGGATCTGCTCTGGGGCCTGAGATCCTGCATTTCAATTTCCCAGGTGAAGCCAAAGGACCAGTTTAAGAAGCAGTGCTTTTGTGACTTGTCTTCTTAATCATAACTGCAGAAGTAAACTAAGTGTGGCTCTTCCCCAAGAAGCAGCATTTAAAGGAAACCAATAAACCTATACACAGGATAGCATCTGACTGCACTTCACCATATCTAAAACGATGCCCTTCATATTTTTTCAAAGGCATTCTTTTTCCCCACAAGATGACTGGCAATTTTATGTTCCAGCCACCCTCAGACATGAAAACACTTGGTTGCTTATCTTGTAAAATCGGCTCCCCTTGCTTGCTTGGGCATGTAAGTAATCAGTTTAGTCAAATACGTGTCAGTACATCTATGGATGGGGGAGCAGGTGCAAGGCCTTAAAAATGTACTTTTAAGAAGTTTAACATTTAAGTCAGTCCACTGAGTTGATCCTGTGTGATCTCAGTGCCAAGCGTCTGAGTTAAAAGTTTTCCCTTTGAAGGCAGCAAATAAATGTACATTTGAAGCATTTGTTTATACTAAAAATGATGCTTGATTTTTTTTAAGTTATAAGTTAGTTCACTGTACAACTCCAGTGAGCGTAAAGGGTGGTATAATGCTTCCAAAGCTGGTATTTGAGGTTTGACTGAATGGATATTGGAATTTTCTGTGCTGTGCTTGGCTTCAAATAAAGTACTTAGTGAATGAACTCAGGCTAGAAAAAGTTAGGGAATCAGCAAAGAAGCAACTTCTTATCTTTGCTTGGTGTTGGCATCTCTTTTCAGTAAAATGTCCTAGGAGGCCCATTTGTTGAAAAGACTCATTTTACTTTTCTGGAGCATTTTGAAGATTTCTTATGAGCAACTCAGATTTGGATATTTGTTGAAAAAGTGTTGGGATAAATGCATTCCTAATCTCAAATACGCTCTTGTATGTGCACAACATGTATATGAGTGTGTATACACACATACACATAAATTAACTCTACCCCTAAAATGATATTTTTCCTGTTTTGGGACCAAATGCTGGGTGTAGAATCACTTATTTTCTTCCCACTGTGTTTGTCATGTGTATATGTGCCTAGTTTTTGAGTTGAGACCCCCCAGCTACTCCGAAGAGCTACAATAGACACTGACTTTAAGGCGGCTTAGGAGCTTGTGTCTGCCCTGGGCCCTGGGCCCCACTCCCTCCGAGGCTGGGCCAGGAGCGCATTATCCTTGCAGTGCATTTGGATGAGGGGGTCTCTGAGCAAAGCACTGATTTGCTTCAAGCTTCCCTCATAAGGGGCAGGATCTCATCTGGACTGCATTTTCCCTGGAACCGCTTGGCCATAACACTATGAGAGAATAATTATTGAACTATTTTACTGTACAACTATTTCCAAATTGTTGATTTTTTATTGATTTCAGGAGGCAAGCTAATTGCCCCATGGCAACTTGATGTTAACATTTAATGAAGATCAGGAAACAGAGTTTATGAAAAGCTTTTGTATAGTAACTGCAAAGTTTCAAGAACTGTTTTATACTTCCTGACAGTGCAGGGCCGAGCTTAATGGTTTGTTTTTATTGCTTAAGAGTGTAAACCTTCCTTTAGCCCGGTGTGTGGAAACTGTACCCTCATCCTGCATTACACATTTTCTTGTTGCTTTTTGCTCACTCCCAACTTCCTTCCCTGCCATGTACAATCAGGACTTTTTCTGCTTTAATTGTCTGAAAGCAGATTTCTATCTTTGCACATTGAGAATCTTACACACACACACACACACACACACACACACACACACTCCTGAAGTAAAGTGTCTGTATTGTTTCACTTTGTTTTGGGTGGAGTTTCTTTTCGGCACTTCGTTGCTAGACGACCAAGCAGACAAAAGTTAAAGATTGAAAAGGCATTTTTTAAAGATGCCAAATCCTGGCAGCTGAGCTATTTTATCTGTGTCTTTATATGGCAGGGTTAGTTTTCTGACCCGGTTCCCTTTGCCTTTTGTTCGTTAGATGGCTGGGAGAAAAATTTTTTGAAGTCTTACTCTTATGGCATTATCTGTTTGAGAACTTTCCTAAGTGTTGTTCCCAGTTGCTGGAACATGCTTCCCACCTGGATGGGCAAAAAAAGCTAGCTTGGTTTCCAAGGGTGTGTTTTAAATCACTAATAAAGTCAAGCTGGAGTTCCCAGCTGCTTAGATTCTTTTAAGGCAAAGAGGTGGAGGAAAGATTGCTTTTTGAAGCAATATTCAGAAATGAAAGGTTCAGGGTGTGGAGCCTACTGTCTTGAGACAGCCACCTCTGCTTTTTTGGTGGATAGTGTTGAAAATGTTTTTAAAAGTTCTTGAAAGCCTAATTTGAAATCAAAGTCATTTGCTCATTTCAGATGCTTTGGGAGCATGTTATAAAAACAGAATCTTTATAGATCAGCCAAGTTGGACGTGTGTTCACAAGTTCATCTCACATGTGCGTATAATTTGTAGCTGAGACATGCTCTCCTTGCTTGGGTCTTCCCTTCCTCCTCACTCACCCTCTAGCTCTCCTCTTTGTGGAGTTCCCTAGGCTGGAATTCAGTCAAATCCATGGAAAACTTTAACCACTTTCCTGATTTCATTTACAGGCAGGATTTCCTGGCGTGGGGATCAAGGAGGGAGCTCTGAAGTTGTTTCATCACAGACTGT